GATTTTATATATATTTAACATTTCATATATTTACCTTTGTTACAGATGTTATATTATTTTCCTTCGACGATGAGCGAAAAAAAAGAAATAATTCGTAAGTATAATCACCATATTCGTAAGGTTAATTTGTGTCCTTTCGGTACACAATTGGATGTAATTAAGTAATGTAAAAGACGTTTTTTGGTTTGATTACATCTGTTTTTTCCCGCAGATGTCACACCTCCAATGGAAGTGGATTCCGTAGAGAATCGTAAGTATAACTTCAACTTTATACATCGTTCATACATTAATACGCAGGAAAACGTATGTTCATATACATATATTTCGGTTTTTTTTTTATCTTCCAGATGATCTCTACCAGGCGGAGCTAGCTGTGCTGCATCTGACGCTGCAGCGTTTAAGCAGAGAGGTGGCTGCAATGAGAGCGAGCGGGGGAGCCCCCTCAGTCACAAATATGCCCGCTGCCGCCGCCGCCGTCGCTGATCGAACAACGACGGAAACCGCACCGAAGCGAGGTAAGTGTCACATGAATACGATCAGGGTTGCTATTAATTAATTACTTTCTTCGATAATCTCCGTCCTTGATAGACAGTTAGTTGCAACCTATTTAATTAATAAATGTGGGCAAAATTTATTACAACCAATTTGATTAAAAATTAATTGATTACAAAATTATTACAACCAATTTAATTAAAAATTATTTGATTAACATTGAATTAACCAGAGTCATTCGCATGTCGTTTAATTGACGATCGAGTTTAGCGATTTTTAATCGAAGATATTCAATTGACGATTACTTTAAACAGAATTAATTGAAACCCATTTACTTGACGATTATTTTCATCAGAATGAATTCATAGCCATTTGCTTGACGATTGATTTCAGAGGAATTAATTCAAAGCCATTGAATTCTATATAAATGTCCTTTAACATTAAAGACATAAACAAATCGTCAATTAAATGACGTTGAATTAATTCCTATTGAATCAAGCGCCAATTAGATGGCTTTAAATTAACTCTGCTTACAGTAATCGTCAATTGAATATCTGCGATTATATAATCGCTCAACTCGATCGTCAATTAAACGACATGCGAATGACACTGGTTAATTCAATTTTAATCAAATCATTTTCAATTACATTCATTTAAAATATTTATTGCTTAGGTTGATTGAATTATAATTGTTTAAATTAATTATTTAACTAAATAATTTTTTAAATTACATTTATTTAAAATATTTATTGATTATATTTGTTTAAATTATTAATTATTTAACTTAAAAAATTGTAATTGATTATTCAAACCCTGCAAACGATATTTCAACCGATATCAATGACCAGCATGGTTTCATTTCATTACCTTGTATTTCCTACACATTTCTATCTGAACGTAGTTATCAATGTGCTCTTCTTCATTATGTAACGCTCCTAAGTAATTCATTACATTGTACTTATATGTTACATTGTCTGCATTTACTTTTGCCAGCACGAGGGACGCAGGCTGGACGGGTGCGTCGCGAGACCCGCGACCATCGTGGTCCCAACGTCCGCCGTGGTCAACGCGTCCATCGTGGTCACGGCGCTAGCGGCTTCGGACGCGGCGGCGGTGATCGAGGAAGAGGGTGCGGGGGATCAAGCACGCTGAATTTTTATTATTCGGGCTAACTATTTTTTTTAAAATAAAATCAACTTTAATAACAAAAAATTACTGGTCATTGATGTACTTCAGCAATGATTTTACTATTCCCGATACATCCTTTCATTGTTGGTCCCACATGTATTCCTCACGATACCATTTGCTATTTCATACTACTCATAAATATTATTATTGTTGCATGAAACCTAATGCTAAAATATTGACACTGAAAAGTGTGAAATGAAAAAATTTTTTGGAAAAAAAATATAACCGACTTCGAAAAACATTAAAATTTCAGTGAAAATTATGAAATAATTTCTAGTCCATTTCTGTAAATAGTGAACAGCTCTATACATGTAAGTGCTAAAAGTTTGACAAAACGCAGTGAAAAGTATGAAATAATTTCTAGTTCATTTCTGTGAATATTCAATAGCTCTATACATGCAATTGCTAAAAGTTTGACAAAACGCAGTCAAAAGTATGAAATAATTTCTAGTTCGTTTATATTACATATTATTCAATAATATATTA